CTCTAGACCAATGAGTCGGCATCCAACAGTGTCAATGTCTAACTTCAACCAATCCACGAAATCAGTCAATAGGTAAATGAATGAATATGATAAATGTCATATAAATTTTATGAGCTAAAGATGGGTTTTTTTTTAAAAAAGGGCAATACACTTCTTGTCTTCTCATTTTTCTTTCTATACGTATAAAATTGTTAAGATGACTGGCACGTGTTTATCTCTATTAACCTCATTATTATTATTATTATTATTATCAACAGTGCTTTAACTATTATGTTTATAGTTCATATAACACACATAGGGAACAATGTGTGGATTAAATTAACAATGGAGGAACGTGTGCCAGTGTGTATGAGAGAGAACGAGACATGATAGTAAAATCAAAGTCAAATTCCGTAATATGATTAATTTGACAGTCTATAACTATTATAAATAGTTTTCTCTTCCTTACTTACTCTAATATCATATGGATAAATTTAAAAGAGTACATCTGGCTAAGTGAAAAATATTTTACAGTGACTGATCATATGTGAATATCTGGTAAAAAGTAAGTTGGATATCATTTACCAGAAATGATAACTAACTAACTATGTGTCAAAATGGTATAGGTTAGCATGGTAATGGTATAAGTTATATTTAAACTTTAAGAATAGAACAAATACAAATACACTTAAATCACAAATAATGAATAGTTAAGGGTTAATAATGATTGGTAGGAAGATGATATTAATTAATTAATTAGTAGTAGTAGTTATTACCAACATATCCAGGTGGTTACTTCTTACAGTAATTATTTTGATTCATTATTTATTTGAGCTATTACCAAGACTACTGACGATAATAATAATAATAATATAAGCAAAGATGGATAGTAGCTAGCAGTGGAATCCAGTTTGACGCGTGTTTCGTCCTATTTGGGATTCGTCAGCTAGATTTACCTGCATCTCAGAGTTGATGTTCACTCTGAGACTCCAACGCAGTACAGTTCGCTTCAAACGCTATCGCGTTATCCACTCAGCTACTGAGTCCTTATAGCCAGCTGTTTGTGCAATGGGATGAAGTTTAAATTCACTTAGTATTGTTTGTTTGGATCTTCTCATTGATGTTTTTAGGACTGCAACTGGTCAGTCGAGTGGATAACGCGATGGCGTTTGAAGAGAAAGGTACTGGGCTCGAATCCCAGAGTGAACATCAACTCTGAGATACAGGTACATCCAGCTGACGAGTCCCAAATAGGACGAAACGAGCGTCAAACTGGATTCCACTGCTTGTCACTATCCATCTCTCTTTATAATGCTTGTGAATTAAGGCAATATTCAGGCAATACGCACAGTATACACATATGCCAATTAGAGACTGACCAGTTGAGGTCCTAAAAACATCAATGGGAAGATCCAAACAAACAATACTAATTAAATAATAATATACTTTAATTGAAGGGGTTTTGTAGAAATTTCCTTACATTATAAAATGGATGTTTTGTGAATTGATTTTTTAAGATGTTGTTGAAAACTAGGGAAGACTAAACGATTGTTTCTTCTTAGTATAGAACTTTTCAACAGCTTGCAGTCAAGAACCCACCAGGGATCGAAGTTAAAAGCTTCAAATCTTTTGACAAATGCTTAACCGTTAAGACCTTTAGGTCAACATACAATGGTTCAGTTTCAACTGCCATGTTAGGAGTAAAACCATTCTCATTAATTAAGTATAGTGATCATCGTCGATTGAAGTTATAACCATACCATTGTACGTCAACACGGTAGTTCTAATGTTTAAACATTCATCGTCAGACCTTGAGGTTCTAAATTAAATTCCTGATAGTGCCGAGAATCCACAGCTCTGAGTGAGATCCCGTACTAAGGTGAAACAACCTCTAGCTTTGTTGATGTCAGAGTTATTAATAGTACTAGTTAAGATTAACCTAAAATATATATGATATTTGTTGAATATACCTATTGTTTGGATCATTTCGACTTTTGTGTCCACCAGATCATGTAGTTTTCAAATAGTCTATTGTGAGATTGATAAACATTTATGTTAATAAGTGAGTTGTAAGTTGATGTGCAGATTTAAATATGGATAGAAAACAGGAATAACAATATATGATGATTGGAGATAGTTGACAGAAATCTCCGGACCTAAGTTTCATATTATTCGCACTTGTCATTACGATTTACCTGTAATCTTGAAAAAACTGATGTTCCCTGGAGGATTCAATCCCGTGTCATCTAACTTCAAGACTAGAGACCTTTTTTGAATCCCAAATAACTTTAAATATAGGTTCAGAATTTCCTGCAGACTATCTCTAACCATCTCTTTATAACTGAACATGGTGCAAGTGATGCTGAATCATTTAGACTAATGGATTCGATCAGCATTGAAGAAGGACAAATGTGGTATTACTCACTACTCAGTGATCAGTCAGTTATGAACAATAATAACACTTCATATTCTAATGATCTGATGTATAAACTTGGCATTAACCTTAGTGTGTTTTGAGAAGAAGTATATCTTATAAGTGAGTGGAATTTTTCTGGCAGAAATTATGGATAGGGAATAATTTAAAACTTATTCACCAATAATACAAACCTTTCCAAACCTCTTCTGCAACAAAGCATAGATTATCAAAAGATGAGAGAGATCAGAAAATTAACCTCTATGCGGTCACGCACGAGACCGAAGGACCTGGGTTCGAATCCAAGATTCACACTCATAACTATTAAAGTTGAATCCACAGCGTTCAAGCAAAATGTTGAACAACAGAGAATCAAGAAAGCCATTGAACCCGAATTAAACAACATGTATACTGAAGTTCATTCAGTTTATAGTAGAATGTATCGATTTTAATCTCTACACGAAAAATAGAATTAAAAACATTTTTAGTGATATTTAGTTCTTGATGGCTTTTCTATTAATATTTTATTTTTAAAAGGGGTTTTGTGGAGATTTTAGTAATTTTATAGTAGAAATCATGAGTCAATTGAAGCTAGACCACCATGAAAAACTTGGAAGCACTGAACGGCCGTTTCGTCCTATTGTGGGACTCCTCAACAGTGCGCATCCACGATCCCGCCTCATGAGACTTGAACCCAGGACCTATCAGTCTGACGCGTGAGTGCTTAATGACTAAACCAGGGATTGGTTGAAGCTAGATATTAACACCGTTGGAAGACGGTTTAGTGGTCTAAAGGTGAATCACTCACACGTGAGACTGATAGGTCCCGGGTTCGGATCTCACGTGGCTGGATCGTGGATGCGCACTTCTGAGGAGTCCAACAATAGGGCGAAAAGGCCGTTTAGTGCTTCCACGTTTTTCATGGTTGTCTAGTTTTAATTGAGACGTTTACCAACTAATGACATTGAAAGACGATTGCTCAATATTGTGAACTGATTGACATTAAATAGGTAAATCATTGAATACTGACTCAATAGTCTAAATGCTCGTCTCTAATCCTTAATGTTCTATGTTCGAATCTTAGGGGGGGGGGTTGTAGATGTACAGTGATAGATGAAACAACTATTCAATACTTCATGAGCTTATCTGAGGTCCATCTAAAATGTATATTGTAAACTACTATTTTAATAATATAACTGTATATGAAGAATATTATATAATAACTTTTATTTAGAAATTCACTTAGTATTACTTGTTTGAATCTTTCCATTGTTATTTAGGACTGCAACTGGTCAATCTTTTATTGGCAATTGTGTATATTGTGCGTATTGCCTCGATATAGCCTTAATTCACAAGTATTGTAAGCAAAGATGGATAGTGGCTAACAGTGGAATCCAGGACGTGCCTTTCGTTCCATTTGGGACTCGTCAGCTAGATGTACCTGCATCTCAGAGTTGATGTTTAATCTGAGACTCGAATCCAGTACCTTTCGCTTCAAACGCCATCGAGTTATCCACTCGGCCACTGAGTCCTGATAACCACTTGTTTGTGCAATGGGGTGAAGTTTAAATTCACTTGTTTGTATTGTTTGTTTGAATCTTCAGGTACGTTCAACTGACGAGTCCCAAATAGGACGAAACGCGTGTCCTGCATTCCACTGCTAGTCACTATCTATCTTTTATTTAGAAAGTTTATTCATATTTAGATATATCTGTCTATCTACATAGTTTTCGAATAAAAATTGATATCACTTTTATTACAATTATAGTTTTAGTAAAACGCTATAGAAAATAATACGATTGGTTTAATAGTTGAATGTGCGTATTCTCTCTTTATATATATCTATATATCTATACCTTTGTTAACATTATAGAGAGTAAACAAAAAAGGCAGTGATAGACTAATGAACACAAATTGGTGACAAGCCGAAAATTTTTTATTTATCGACCAACAGAAAAACTCGTTGATTTTAGTGTCCGCCTCACTACTATAATCATCGTGATAAAAAAAGAAATATCATTTTAACATGTTACCTTTCTTCACCAGTATTGACGATCTAGAGTGTGTGTGTTTGCGAGATGTGTGAGGATAAATAATCTGTTAAGTCTTTTTTCACATCTACGCATATACATACCTATTTTACATTTCACGGGGTAGATAAATGTAATGTTGTTATTTTTTTTTTTAACAAGATATAATAATGAAATGAAAGGGGGGTAAGAAAAAAGGGAAGGAAGTTCATTGAAGGATCGTACAGACGAAAGAATTAAATTTTTGAATGGAATAAATGTTTACCGATAAATGGAAGAAATTGTGATAGATTCATAATTGTTATTGTTGATATGATGAGATAGACTTTTCATTGCTTCATTATTCGGCATAAAACTAAGGATATTTGTATGTATAATAAGACAAAGTGTACACCATTACACTAATTATATATAGACATATATGAAGCTATTTTTCCCTTCTTTTACAAATACCTTTCTCAAATAATATGCATGCATATCATTATATACAAACAATATAGGTATAATATTTTTCACCAATCCTATCAAATGATTATTATAATTACTATAAAAGATAGATTTTAAGTATTAACATTCTTACTGTCTAACACTTCTTCCTTCAAGAAATCCTCCTCTCCCCGACCCTCCCCCCTACACACACATCCACATCCACACACACACATACGTAAATGTGCATCAAATGTAAAATATTACAATTTATTATTGTATAATTCAAATCCATTTAATGTTGATAAATTAAACAAACAATTGAGAATGCTTAAAAATACAATGGATTATCATCAACCTCTAAATCATCCTCATCATCAATCTCTACATAAATCATTACCGTTAATAACGTCCATATCACGAACATCTACACTGAATACTTCTTCTTCTTCTTCTAAATATTCCATAAAATATGGTTATAATCATAATCATTTACATAAATTATCAAATAAATTTAAAGTAAATCGTATGAAAGATGTTTCACTATCATTGAATCGTTTAACAAATAAACGTAAATCAGTTACAAATCATACACATAGATCAATGAAACAAAAACGTTTCACAATGTATCCATTATCTATTTCTTCTTATGGTTCTTCATCTATATCAAAATCACCATCACATACATCAACATCATTCATAGAAGATTGTTCAACTGGAGAAAATGATGATAAATATTCAACAGCATTAGAAGATATAGAAGAAGAAGAAGAAGAACAACAACAACAACAACAACAACAACAAGGATTATTATGTAAATCTTTACAAAATCATATATCTCCTAGTAGTATAAACTCAACAACCAGTTCACTAACTTGTAAAATCATCACAGATCACTATGACAATCAAGATAAACTAATACATGACATGAATTATCAAAATTCATTTTTGAAATTATCTAGAAAAGCATCAGCATTTTCAATTGAATCGATCATTTCAAAGAAACATAAACAAATTACAAATTGTAATGGAATTATTAACTATGAAGTAATGCATAGTGATGATGATCATTATCAACAGCAACAACACCACCAACAACAACATGATGTTAAAGATTATGATCAGGATTCTTTAAATTCACAACTTTCTTCATCAATTAAATATACTGATGATCAAAAAAGTATCATAAATCATAATCGATTAGAAAATCAATCATTATCTTATTTATCTAGTCCAATATCAAATGGTAAGTGATATGAATACATATAAATTATTGATTATTGATTTGTAATTATATTTTTATGAAACTCTTTCCTATTGGTTGATCATAATTGATTGTATATTAATAAATCAATGTTTCATAACTTTTGTACCGTCCTATATGATAAAAGAATGTTTAGATTCTATTAGAAATGTTAATTTCAGTCAACAGGTTAACAATATTGTTTGTTTCTATCCTATGTTAAGTAGATACTCGTAAGTTACTAGTATTTGACCACAGATGCCTTAGAAATATTGCTCGCATCTGCTAGGATCACCGGGTAAGTAATAGTGAGGTTAGACACAGGGTATTAGGGAATGATGGTAAATCGGTTGATGAGGTCATGAATCTTCATCTACTGAGATGGTTGGGCCACGTATTACGTATGCCTGAACACCGATTACCACGATGTGCTATGCTGACTAGTGTTGGGGATGGTTGGAAGAGAGTTAGGGGCGGCCAAACCAAAACATGGCATCAGAGTTTAAAGTCACTAACTTCTAGTCTGAGCCATGTTAGTAGATGCAGACTACTTGATTGGGGTCCACGTGACTATCGTAACCAATGGTTGCAAACTTTGGGTGACATGGCTCAGAATCGATCACAATGGGGTAGAAGTATACACTCTTTATCTTCCCCTAAACCTTGAGATTAAAATTGCTCCATAACTTTCTTCCTTCCTATACTATATACGATATATCCTTATATACAGCATATCTTTTATATATTACCACCAGTAAATTATCTACTTCTATGAATTCGGTGTTCATCTTGTTGTGCTAATGAGTGAGGTATGGCAACTTAGACCGATGCATATATGTGCCTGGTCGTACGTTGTAGCTGACTGACTGATGATAAATAGTATGTGTACACAGATATGATGTTCCTTGTGTGATATACACTCTGATCATTCTTAGTATATGTTCAGTGAAAACATTCAAATTATCTTATAAAATCTTCTGTTTAGATTTGAACCAATAACTAATTTCACAATCTTTGAATATCTAATTAATGATCAATGTTACAAAGAGAAAGTGTATTTGTAAAACATCACAATGATTGAAATTAGAAGAGATTCCAATGTCTCGTTTGAAACTCTGGCCTAGGCATCTTTAAATGGAAATAATGAAATATCAAAATTATTAATCAGTATTCTTTGTTGTTAATTTGTACAGACTATTCAAATGTAATATTATTGCGATTCATGTTGTAAGGTATCCCTCATCACTTACCAAAAATAGAAGTAATCAACGTATTGACCATAGAGATTTATTGAAATACTAAATGAATTATGTAGGTACTCTATTTAAATAAAGTAAGACTAATAATTACATAACAGGATAATATGCGAATTCATTTATTTTCAATTTAAGTTAGACAATAACGCCGTTGGATGTCGACTCAGTAGTCTAGAGGTTAAGCGTTCACGCGCGAGACCGAAGGTCCTGGGTTGGATTCCCCCAAGCGGGATCGTGGATACACACTGTCGAGTAGTCCCATACTGGGGCGAAACAACCATCCAGTGCTTTCAGGTTTTCAGTGGCGGTCTAGCTTTAATCGACTCATAATTTCAACTGTTAAAAATTACTACAATCTCCACAAACTCCCATTCTAATAATATTTGTGATTGTTGAAAAAAATGTTTCGTGACAAACTCTTGAAACTAAAATCACCAAAGCAAAGAGCGGTTAACAACTATACCTTTTTAAATGCAAAAATTTGATTTAACTCATTGTATAACAACAATTTCAGCGAAACATGATTAATTTGATATTTTTCATTCAATGATTATGTTCGAAGATTTTGAAACATGTCGACTGTTATAAAAATGATCAACAATTGAACTGTCGAAAACATTCTGTCTTTTTAGTATAACCTTTTATGAAAATGTATTCAAAGATGTAGAAATTAATCCACCTTTCTATTCCCTTAGTGTATGAGCTTTGGTACATGTATGTAAATTAATACAAACGAATTAAACAGAATATAAGATGGAAAATTGTCTGTATTTGATTATTATAATAATCTATCAGTTCGATAGAGACAAGACATTTTTAAAAAGGATTAATGCTATTGTTCTTAAGTTGCAAATAGATGAATAGAATTGAAGAAATAAAAAAATGTTTATAAACAAAGATGGATAGAGGTTAGCAGTGGAATCCAGTTTGAAGCTTGTTTCGTCCTATTTGGGATTCGTCAGCTGGATTTACCTGCATCTCAGAGTTGATGTTCACTCTGAGACTCCAACGCAGTACAGTTCGCTTCAAACGCTATCGCGTTATCCACTCAGCTACTGAGTCCTTATAGCCAGCTGTTTGTGCAATGGGATGAAGTTTAAATTCACTTAGTATTGTTTGTTTGAATCTTCCCATTGTTATTTAAGACTGCAAGTGGTCAGTTTCTTATTGGCATATGAGTATCCCGTGAGTACTGCCTCGATATAGCCTTAATTCATAAGCATTATAAGGAGAGATGAATAATGGCTAATATTGGAATCCAGTTTGACGCTCGCTTCGTCCTATTTGGGGACTCGTCAGCTGGATGTATGCACATATGCCAATAAGAGACTGATCAATCACAGTCTTAAACATGAATGGGAAGATACGAACAAACAATATCAAATGAATTACATATCTCATTTTTAAACCTTAGACTAGTTGAATGGTTCTCATTTTTGCATATATTCATACATGTATTTTCCTAGAAACTTATATTTAAGTGAATACCATCTTGAATACAGAAAAAGCGTGTATTTTGCATTGGTTTAAAATAATAATGATATTCAAAACAGTTTACCTAATAAATTGCTATTCACTAATGGACCATTTTAAAGTGGGTAATACTAAATTTTGAGACTTCTCATGAGTACACATCTACGATCTCCATCCCTTGAATTTGAAACGTTTAGATATTGTAACAAGTATTGATAATTTGATATTTTCAATTGATAGTCCCTTTACGTTTCTCCTCAATTGATTTTTACAGATCAATGCCACTTATTAGTACTACCAACCGTTTTTGTAAAGTCTGAACTTATTTATTACTTTTCATTAAAACCATGAACCCGTCTAAGTTGAACTACCAGTGAAAACATGGAAACACTGGACATACGTTTCATCCTAGTATTGGACTCTTCAACAGTGTGCATCCACGATCCCCTATATGGAACTTGAATCCAGGGGTCCCGAGTTTCCAATGGTAGTTTAACTTAGTTCAGTTCATAATTTCAATGAAATTCCACAATCTCCATAAACCCCATCCTGAAAATTATTTGTTACAATTGACAGACATTGTAATCAAAAACTGTTTGCAAGAAATCTGTGTAGATGTAACATATACCAGTAATTACCCCCTTCTCATCTGAGAAAAGAAAGAAGTAACCACATTCATACAGAAAACTACATTTTTCTAGGTTGTACTTACGACTAAAAGAATAGGCTTTTAACACTGTTGGTAAGTTTGTATTTGAATTAAAGGATTGTGGAACAAGAGTTATATGATCTGTCAAATCATGATGAACATTGAAAACAAACAATAATAATTACCGGTGATACAAACATGAAATTAAAACAACTTCATATTTAGAACTAGAGACTCAGAACAGTAATGCATTAAGTATGTTACGAAATATATTTTTATAACTTGCATATGCAGAAGGTAACACATTTCATTGATTTCATTTGATTTTTTTCTCGGGAAAAATTGTCTTTTAGAAATGCTTTCTGATACCATTAAGTAAAGTTTAGAGAGAACTTGGCTTGAAATTATGTATGAATTAGACTATTGGACTATTGTCTAATGGAGATTATACTAGTTTTATCATGAAATGAAAAGTAAACAAATTTGATGATCCAACAAATTAACATACTTGCATCTCAGAGCTGACGAATCCCAAATAGCACGAAACGAGCGTCAAACTGGATTCCATTGCTAGCCACTATCCATTTCTCCTTATAATGCTTGTGAATTAAAGCTATATCGAGACAATACTCACAGTATGCACATATGGCCAATAAGAGATTGACCAGTTGCAGTCCTAAGCATCAATGGGAAGATTCAAACAAACAGTAACAAGTGAAATTAACATACTGAATCTTAAATTGCTACAGTATATTAAAATTAACAATCAATGTTTGTACAGGCACACATACTTTATTCATATTAGCTTTGAATACTTAATATCTGATTATGATGGACGAGTAGCTTGTCTTTGAATTACCTAATGGTTCAATTTGTTATTGTTGAACCTATTCACACAAAGAACTGAAAGTTCATTTTTATAGCTCATCAAGTATGTAAGTCGATAGAAAACAATATGTACATTACTTGAAAATAAACATATTACTTTGTAATATTTTAGATGGAAAAAGTCTAATGATCAGAAGAGGTTTAGTGGAGATTTCAGTATTTTCATAGTTGAAATCATGAGTCAATTGAAGCTAGACCATAATGGAAAACCTAGAAGCACTAGACGACCGTTTTGTCCTATTGTGGGACTCCTCGGCAGTGCGCATCCTCGATCTCGACTCCCGATATACCACTGAGCCGGCATCCAATGGTGTTATTTTCTAACTTCAACCAATCCACGATTTTTGAGCAACCGTTTACCAATTGTCTTCAGTGAGTTGATATCTCTACAACAGACGTGGTTGAACTCCACTAGTCACTGCTTCCCACCAGAAGTCAAGGAAATCTCTCTTGAAGTCAGTCATTAGTGAGTATATGATTATAGATCAGAAGGGGTTTTGTGGAGATTTCAGTATTTTCATTATTAAATATTAATATAATATGTAGTTGATACCTCTTAAAAATTAATTCACACAGTGGTTACATTTTCATTGATTTACTAAAATGCATAGCTGAACGATAAAGGTTTAGAACAAAGTGGTAACATAAATATTATTATATTTATCTTCTCCCCCCCCTAAGTTAAGTACACGTTTTTGTACAAGCTATCACTAGGCAAAGATTGAATAGAACTTTAT